TACCCAATCGATATCTTTGAAAATCTCTCAAAATCTCGTCCAAATCCGAGCTCTCTACCTCAAGTTTTGATAAAAATGGCTAAATCCTCGATTTTGAAATGTTTAATACTGCCAAGGCATTCCTTCTTCGCGAACGCCGAAGAATCCTCGTGTTCGCGAAGCACAAACTCGCTTCATCCTAAAAATACTCATCGCGAACGCGAAGCTTGCTCAGCTTGACACTACACGAACGCGAGACCAACATCGCGAACGCGTAGGTAAAGAGGCCTGGAGACTCAGTTGACCACTTCCTCTACGCGAACGCGGGACCTCCAATGCAAACGCGTAGAACAACTACCTCTGTGCTTCGCGAATGCGAGACCTCCATCGCGAATGCGGGACTCCCCTTGAGAACGCGGAAAAGGAAACCAGAACTGGAAACATCAGAAAATCTGCAATATTTCACAAGTCCAAAATGATCCGTTAACCATCCGAAATCAACCCGAGGCCCCCGGGATGTCAACCAAACATACCTACAAGTTCTAAAATACCATACGAACTTAGTCGAGCCCTCAAAACACATCAAACAACATTAAAAACACGAATCACCCTCCAATCCAAACTTAATGAACTTTGAAACTTCAAACTTCTACAACCGATACCGAAACCTATCAAACCACGTCCGTTTGACCTCAAATTTTGCACACAAGTCATATTTAACCTTATGGACCTACTCCAACTTTCAGAATCGGAATCTGACTCCGATATCAAAAAGTCCACTTCCGGTCAAAATCTCCAAAAAATCAACTTTCGCCATTTCAAGCCTAAATTAGCTACAGACCTCCGAAACACAATTCGGACGCGCTCCTAAGTCCAAAATCACTCAACAGAGCTAACAGAACCGACGAAACTCCATTACGGAGTTGTCTTCACACAGCTCCGACTATGGTCAAAATCCTAGAACTTAAGCAATTCCGTATTAGGGACTAAGTATCCCAAAACACTCAAACCAAAAACAGAACCTCCCGGCAAGTCACGTAAGGAGAAAAAGATACGGGGAAAGCAGTAAATAAGGGATTGGGGCTAATACACTCAAAACGACCGGCCGTGTCGTTACATGAAATGAGGTATTTATAGTTTTAAAATACATCCAAAATGTAATTTAATAAACTTAGGGGTTAAAAATATAAATGAGGGGATATGGGGTATTAGAGGGGAGAGGGAGGGGTAGGAAGGCAAAAATGGCCATCTTTGGCTGGCGGGTATTTTAAAAAATATTGGCTAACAATAAAAAACAGCTATATTAAGAAAACAAAAAACCTTAAGGGTACCAGATTAGTATCGGTTTGGTACCTTAGCGATACCAACCGGACCGATTTTATGAAAACTTTATTCGGTTTCCTCCCACTTCCCTTCCCCTTAGCCCAAAGTCCTTACCCTTATTACCCTCAACCAAACTGCGATGTACTACCAGTACTAATGCGGAACCGATTTCGGGTAATACCCCCATAGATAGCCCTACTTCCTCCCCTTAGAGAATTAAAAGTATAACTACTCCCCTCAAGTGCACTCAATATTATACACCGACCAAATAATTAATTGATCAAAAAAAATTTATACTATAATAAAAGTACGAAGGCCCTTAGGAAAATATTGTTCGCCTTTTTTATCTTTTAAAATAAATTTTACACTGGACAAAATAGTCTTTCGATATTTTCCTAATGTTTAAAAATAATTATTTAATTATTTTCCTATATTTAGAAATAAAGATTTAATTAGTTTCTTACTATTTAGGAATTGTCATTTAATTAGTTTCCTATTATTTAGGAGTTGTCATTTAATTATTCCCTAATATTTAGAACTTTTATGTTTTATTCCTCTATGTTCTAGAATTTCAAGTACATTCAATTTACACTATGAATGTTTTGTTCATGTTCAAGTTCATTCATACGTTGGAGTATCAAATTTCTCCTTTTAGGTTTAAATGTGCCTTCTTTTAGTTAATAAAATTTTGACATATTAATCACACTACGGAAGTTTCATTCAATTTCACCATATTGTACTCCTTTTAGGTTTACGTATTGTTTGGATGGTTGTTACCCATCGTATTGTATTGTATTGTTATCTCAAATACAATGTTTGTTCTGATTGTTCATATAAAACTGATTGTATTGTATTGTTAAATCTATTGTTCTGGAACAATGAAAAGCCCCATTTTATGAAACAACCAAATTGGTGTGGTGGGATTGTTCTGTATTTCTATTTTCAATTACGTCCACACTAATTATTCTATATTTTAATTTTACCCTTTACCCTATTATTTATATTATACTTCACCCAACTTCGTACTTTGTCTCCATCCTTCTGCCGTTAATTTTTTTGGTTAGTTTTTCCTCTCTTTTTTTATGTATTTTTATCTTATTTATGATCTTTGCAAACTTTTTGCTAATTTTAATTACATATATAATTTACTTAGGCTTCTGCCATTCCAAACTACAGGAACAGAGGTCCATTGTTCTCTGTTTTGATGGGGCTATAATTTTTTTTTGTATGAAATCAGTTTGGTGCTTTCGTTACTATGGTAGAATGATGATTACCCGTGAGGAAGATGGGGAGGTCAAATAAATAAATTATTTTTATGAGTAGTTCTTAATAAGCATCGTATTTAAAATAATTGAGGGTATTTTAGTAAATATAGCAGTACAATACAATACAATACAATACAGTCAAACCAAACAATAAAAATGTTATTTAACAACAACAAACGATACAATCTATCCAAACGTTGTATCCATCAAAACGATACAATACGATACAGTACAGTACAATACATTATAAAACGATGGGTAACAATGATCCAAACAGAGTGTTAGTAAAAAAACAAACACTTTGAACTTCTTTTTGATTAGGATCTTTATTTTTTAATAATATTTTCTTTGTCTATTTGACCTATATATCATTAAACCTTATATAAGTTCTTTCCTATTTGAATTATATAAGCGACTACTTCTGTTAAAGGAGCTATGATTCCATATTTTATTATCAAAACTTTGCGTTGTTCTAGCAACAGTTATAAAATTAAGAATTTTCCAATTCTATTTTATTTTATTGAGCAAAATGGTTTTGTATTAATAGTTGAATTTTGAGTTCACGTGTTTGTATTATTAGTTGAATTCATTCTATGGGTGTTTAATGGGCCGAGTCAGCCCGTTTTCGGACCAATCCAGACCAGTTAAAACCGGAACCGGTAGAAGGGGGTCGGGTCGGGCTGGGTTAAAGGGGTAGTGGGTTTGGTCCGTTCACGATTTGACAACCGGTTAAGCGGACAGGTCAAAGCCGGTCAAAGGTTTTTACTGTTCAACCGGTTAATCGGCCAGACCGCTATAACAGCTAATTTAAATTTTTATTTATTTATTTATTTATTTATTTTTAATAATGGGGCCTTTGAATTTACTCTTTTTTCGTTAATTTACTTGATGTTAAATGTAAACCTTTCAATTTGTAAGTTTGAATTTTGAAATAAATGTAGCACTTGCAATTTATAAGTGCAATTTTTTCCCATCTTCATTGTATTCTTTATATTTTTACTCTATATTAATATAACTTATAATAGTTATACAAAAACAGAATACAAAAAAAAAATATTACATTAACCCGGCCCGGCCCCTTGTACCCGTAACTTTACGGTTTATTTTTTACCCGGATAAACCCGAACCCGTTAAACCCGGTAAGCCCCAACCCGTAACCGGCCCGAACCGCAATCTGTACGGTTCCTAAATTTTTCTATCCAGCCCGGCCCGGCTCACCCGTTAGACACCCTTATTTTATTCAGAGACTAATTTGAATTTTGCATCCACGTATATGATTTATATTTTTTTAGAAGTTTATTCTTATTAATATGAGGGTCACGTGCTATATTAAAAGAATACAAAAAGAATAACTTTTCAAACTTAAAAGGCAGAATAGCCTAATAAACACTTTTATTTGTCCCGCTTTGTCAGCCCGGTCCCGATACTCTACCAAGTTTCATTCAGACACTTGTAGTTTTCAAAATACATTATTTTAAACCCCTCCGGCCTCGCGTGTTCTTCAAACACACGATGTGGATAACACATCATAGTCCACATCAGATTTTAAATGACATATCATTATTTTTTAATTTAATTTCAACAATTTAATTTTTTCCTTTTTTCACTCCTCCCCCACCCTTGACCACCTATCTCTATTTTTTAGAGCAGAAATAACACCATGATTTACCGCCTTTACCGGCGGCAGCACCACGGCGGACAACTAAAACCCACCATTTTATAACTTTCCATTGTCCATCTCCCTTTCAGAAATTTTTACCACCGAAACTTCTCATCATTGGTCAGATTTCAGTCCAAATTTTTTCAGAAATAGTGGTCGAAAAAATGCAGGTGCCTTCGTAATATACATTCAAGAGGCGTGATGTAACCGATAAAAAGGAATCCATATGCCCACATTCTACATTGTACACCTCAAAAATATTCAATAAACATAGATCTAATTCATCTCAAAAACATTAATGGTGGTTGCTCTTCAAAAAAAATTTTCTACTTTTTTCTCAAATATTGACTGAAGGTTTGTAAAAATAGAAAGTTTGGGAATAACGGGAGAAAGAGAAAAGAAAAATGGAGGAGGAAAATAACAGAAAAGGATAAGAAAGAGAAAAGAAAAATGGAGGAGGGGTGAGAAAGAACGGAAAAAGGGGAAGGAAAGAAAGAGAAAAAGAAATGGGGAGGGATGGGGGAAAGAAGAAAGAACAGATATTTTTATTTTTTCTTATATTATTCTTTTTTCTTTTACTTTTATTTATTCTTTTTATTTTTTTTTCTTATTTTAATCATTTTTAGTTTAACTTTTTTTATAGTTACTCTCGTTATACGCGTGAAATTGACATATTTTGTCCAACTCAGTCATGAAGTTGCCAAGTGTCTGGATAAAACTTGGTAGATTATCGGGACCGGGATAACAAAGCGGGACAAATAAAAGTGTTTATTAGGCTATTCTGCCAACTTAAAATGAAAAAAACAGAGAAACACTTCTCCTTCTCCGAATCTTCAATACCAAGAAATCTCCATTAAACCCATACACCTCACTCACTTCTCCACTCTCAATCTCGCACCTACACACTGTGACACCAAAATTCCAACAAAAAATGGGCAAGAAATCAAACTCAAACGGCGACGTTGTACAATCTAAAAATTCCACATGTTTCATCGGCTCATCGGTGGTTCCATTAATCAACAAGCTTCAGGATATTTTCGCACCGCTCGGCGACATCGACGATCGTCTCACCGGTCTCCGGCTGCCTCAAGTGGCGGTGATTGGGAGTCAGAGTAGCGGCAAGTCCAGTGTACTTGAGGCCTTAGTTGGCCGTGACTTCCTTCCACGTGGCACTGATATTTGTACACGTAGACCGTTACTTCTTCAGCTTGAAAAACGCACTATAGGAGTTGGTGATAATGATTCTCGTGAATATGGCGAGTTTGGTCACCTCCCTGATAAACGATTCTACGATTTCTCCGCTATTCGCTGTGAAATTCTGGTTAGGTTCTTCCATTCTTCTTGTATTTTTTCCTTTATCTTTGATAATTGGAAATCACTATTCCATCTGTCCAATGGCGCACTATCTTTTTTGCTGTTTTTAGTCAGCAGTGAAACTATAGCAAGTTAGGTATGAGTCCACGTGACTCCAATAACTTTTGCCCGTACCGTATTTAGCTCGGATCCTAGTTCGTTAGTCCTGTTATTAGTCAGGGTTACGTGACACACTTTTCTTTTTAGTTGGGGGAGAATTATAGTAGTATTAGGTATGAGTATCGGCTATGCGTTCATGTGAACCTGGTAACTTTTCCCAAACTGTGTATTTATATTAATAAAAATATTTAGCTCGGAGCCCAATCTGTTGGTCTGGTTATTATTTCATCAATGTGTAGGCAGTGGCGGAGCCACATATTGACACCCCTTTGCCGGTTAATTACTGTTTAGATAGGTAATTTTTTTAATGTAAATATACCTCCCTGACAAATGATTCTACAACTTCTCCGCTATTCACCGTGAAATTATTGTTAGGTTCTTCGATTTTTCTTCTATTTTCTTAAAAATAATTGTAAATCACTACTCCATCTGTCCAATGGCACACTTTCTTTTTTAGTTAGGGCTGATGTGACACACTTTCATTTTCAGTCAGGAGTGAAACTATCCTAAGTATTAGGTATGAGTTCACGTGAAACCGATAACTTTTTCTCGGACCGTATTTAGCTCGAAGCCCAGTCCGTTAGTCCTGTTATTAGTTAGGGTACGTGACACACTTTTCTTTTTAGTGCGGGATTATGTGACACACAATCTTAATCCTAACTTGTTAATGTCGCTATAGTAATTCTTTTCTTTCATTGTTTTCTATTTTTAGCTAAGTCCCCAATCCATTAGTTGGAAGAGATTGTAGGTCTTTTCAGACAACTTTTCTCCATGTGATTTCAGGTTTGCCTTGTTGCCTTTTAACACCTTCAATCATCATACTGTCACAACTCACAACTATGGTAGTGCATGTGGATGTCTACATATAAAAAAGGGCAGCACAGTGTACTAAGCTCCCGCTATGCGCGGGGTTCGGGAAAGGGCCGGACCACAAGGGTCTATAGTGCACAGCCTTGCCCTGTATTTCTGCAAGAGGCTGTTTCCGCGGCTCGAACCCGTGACCTCCTAGTCACATGGCAACAACTTTACCAGTTACGCTAAAGCTCCCCTTCATGTGGATGTCTACATATGATAGGCGTGAGAGAGGCCCAACATTCTTTCCTATATAATATTGCTTGTCCACAACAGTTCTATAAAGTATAAATAGCCTTTCATTTTGTTAGGTATATTCTATTTCCGCACTCCCTGCCACTCCTCCATTTCAGCCATAATACTTTAATCCTATGTGTTACATTTTTCTTTATCATGCCATTGTTTTTAAATTCTGACGCTAGGTATTCTATATGGAGTACTGAGTTGGATCATTACTAAAAGCTGCTCAATTGGTGTGAGAAGAAAAATAAAAAGTAAAAATGGTGTTACTGATGACCATTAGGAGCTAAATAATTAGTGGTAATACATTTTGGACAGAGATTAAAAAAAAAAAAGAAAATCTGTGGAGAAGTTAAAAGAGTTATTTTTGGTAACATACTTGAGGCTACGTTAAACTTGTTGGACACCAGCGAAATGGCAATTTTCTATTACTCCTTTATATAATATAAGATTTTGTATAGCGGAAATGTCCAAAAGTTCAGAGTGAAGCTTGATGACTAGCAGGATGTTTTATCGCATTTAATGATGTTCATCAACTTGTTGTTTTCTTTCTGAAATACTAGGTTAAAAATATTATGCTTTATCTACTTCTTATTGTTTTCTTTCTTATCAACTAGGTTGAAGATATTATTTTTTATTTTGACATTTGTGAATATACTAGGGGTACCGTATTTTTTCACGCTTTCTTATGTGAATAAACTGATCTGTTAGTGCAGGGTGAAACAGCAAAAGAAGTGGGAGTTAACAAGGGGGTTTCGGATAAGCAAATTCGGTTAAAAATCTGCTCTCCCAATGTTCTCAATATTACTCTTGTTGATCTACCTGGAATCACTAAAGTTCCTGTCGGTGACCAACCCAGTGATATTGAAGCAAGGATCAGAAATATGATAATGTCCTATATAAAACAAGAAACTTCAATCATATTGGCTGTTTCTCCTGCAAATGCTGATTTGGCTAATTCTGATGCACTACAAATGGCTAAAGAGGTGGATCCAACTGGTAGGTCTCTGATGTAGTTGTCTGGAATCTGGATAGCCCAAATTTGTTGCTTTAATTCCTAAGTTATGTTACACAGTCACACACTGACAAATATTTTTTATGACTGCTTTATGCAACTTATTTTACTATTTCACATCCAGTGCCTTGACTTGATAAATTATTTGACAGGTACCCGTACAATTGGTGTAATAACTAAGGTTAGTTTTCACATTCGCATTGAAGGTTAAAAAGCATCTCCTTTACCTTTTAAAAGAAAAATATGTCATGAAAAGGAAACTTTTGCAGCTGTGTGTTCATTAGCTTCTTCATGAAATCGTCAGGCAGACATGTGATCTTAATATTGTGTTGTGGCTGTAGCTAGATATAATGGATAAGGGTACCGACGCGAGAAACTTTCTGCTGGGAAAAGTTATTCCACTTCGTTTAGGTTATGTCGGTGTTGTCAACCGTAGTCAACAGGTATATTCTGGATTCTTTGCTTTGACTACTTGCTGTTTTCACTAAAGCCCTATATTTTGCTGATCCAGAGTACTACTACTAACTGACCTGTATCTATCTCAACTTCACATCATCAAAAGCAATAACTGTCTAATAAAGCACTCAAGGATGTGGCCTAGTGATGAATGAAGTGGATGCAAACCTTTGAGACCAGGGTTTAAATCCCATCGGACATAAAACAATCCCATTTGCCTAATTCTCAGTGGGCAGAGTTACCAACGGGTGGGAGGTAGTAGGTACCCAGTGGCCAATGGAGTAGTTGAGGTGCATGCAAGCTGGCCTGGATACCACTATTAGCTTAAGAAAAAAGTCTAATATAAGCTATTGTTCAGATTGACATCAAAGTTTTGTGTATCAGGAGGCTAATGATCCTTCGTAAGATTTTATGTAACATGCATTGCCTATTTGAATGGGTTTACCTTTTTAACCTCAACTAATATATCAGAGCTTTGCTTTCTTCTTTATTACATACCTAATTTAGCGATTCTACTTCGTTCATATTTCACATACTTTCTCCCTTTCAAGAGCAAAGATGAATTTTCACAAGGTGTTGTGCTTATTTATTAGGTCTAAGATGCTGTTAGTTTCAATCAGATCCCTATCGTGTATTTCCATCAACATTGGCCTCAGTCCTTCTTCCTTTTTAGGGGTTAATCCTTCTAGTGTGCCACTTCCGAGATCAACTGATATTTTGTTTGGTAGGAAGAGGGTAGTTAGTGATCTAAAAGGATTTCCTATCCAGTTGGATGAAAGGCCGCCTTCCACAGACATTTTGGCTATGTGATTTGAAGCTGCTTGCAGATGTTTGTTTGACACTGATGATCTTTCTATGCAATAGCAGTTCCAATATCATATTTAATGAAAACAAGCTGAGGTCTAGGTGATTTACTTTAAGAATTTGGGTCACTGCTATGCAATGCCTATGCCCTTTAGGCCTTTACTCTTATGCATGTCTTACAATTGTATCATGGTTGAAGAGATGCAATTGAGTGCACCTGTACATGTTGCTTCTTACTTAAGTCAAAGCTTAAGAAGTAAAGCTTTCACATTGTACATGGTTCCCAAGCTTAGTCCTATGTACTATATAAGGTCAAACGTTTTGATCCCTTGGTCCCAAAGTGGATAAACTTTTTTTGTAGCATAATGATTGAAATTATAGTTTGAATGGTATGTAATCATGCATATATTTGCTTATGATATATTGAATATGTGAGGGTGTGGTTTATTGTTATAAAGATATCACATTGAAGCGAAAGTAATGAAGTGCTACATTATCTCGGTTGTTGTTCAGAGTTGTCTGTTACCTGCAGTTGTTTGAGACCTCCTATTATTGGCTTGATCTATCGTTTCAATAGGCTCCTTGTCATCAGGCTACTTAATTGAAGAATTTTCTACACGACATATTAGTTCGAACTTTTGGCTTGAAGATCTTTTCCATGTAAGGAAAAAAGTCAATTACAGATAAGCTAAAGAGAAAGGGGTCAATTTAATTGGAAAAAAGGGCGATCTAGTGAAGAGTCATTATAACGTCACGAGGGACCTAGACACAACATTTTTGTGGGAGAATATCTTAAACCTTGTATCTATGTCCATAAGCTGTTAGAGAGAACACTCTTTTGTTTATTTAGCTGTGTTCAACAGAAAGAAAGAAGAAAATGCCGAAACATTGTGTTTATGGTTCAAATATATTGAACCAAATACGATAATATAAGTGTATTTTTGCAGGATATTAACAATAAGCGTTCTATTGAAGAAGCACTTGCTTATGAGGAGCAATTCTTCCGTGATTATCATGTACGTTTCTGCTAATTTTCATCTTATATTCTATTTTTGGTAATTACATTGTCACATGGTACTTTGCATTTGAAGGTGTACCATGGTTTATCTGATCGTTGCGGAATCCCCCAGTTGGCGAAGAAGCTAAATCAGGTTGGTGCCAAAATGATGGATAAAAGATGAATTCGTGTCAATGGTTCTAATTTAGGTCGATTTGGTTCTGTAGGTAAGTCTTTTGTGTTGCCGGAGAAGATGTTCAAAGGCATTTGTAGGTGCCTAGCTGTAATTTTGAGGAAAAATCAGAAGATGCTAGAATAATGCAATTGTCCTCAGCGGATAATTTTGTACACTTGAGGAGTAGCTTCTTATCCCTTATATCCTTTTGGTGTACCCACAAGATTTGTGTATGTATAGAAGATTGGGTGTTGTTTGTAGAAAACCATATCTTTTTTCTATTTTTGGTATACTCCTGGTATGCGGGTGTTTTTTGCCCATTGTCAATACAATCTAATTACTTGGAAAAATTGCGATTGTCCTCAGAACGCATGTACACTGAGGTGTACTTTTAGGAATTATGGAATTCCTTTTTGTCCTTCATTTCTTGTAGGCATTGCATTCATGTTAACAATCTCTTTTGTGCCTTTCTGTTGATTGCTGCAGTTGTGAAATGGAAACTTAGTTTACCTTAATGCTTAAAAAGTGTGAATAGAGACATCAAACATAAAACATCCTACTTGGCATCATTGGCTAATCTTTTTGTTACAATAAATCAAACTGTGTTAAAGAAATAAAATAGATAATAGCATGAAGTTTATGGTATTTTTGTTTTGTTTCAGATTCTGGAGCAGCACATTCGAAATGTTCTCCCCACTTTGAAGACTGATTTAAATTCTCATCTTGTAGCTGTTGAAAAGGAGTTACGTACTTACGGGGAGGCTTTGGAATCAAATGTAAAGATAATGTGCTATGATTTTATTTCAAAGTCGTGGGCTAGAAATTGATCTTTTATGAATTGCAATTTCAAGTCATGGGTGGAATGATTCTAAGATATGCATAACCAGATAGTTATAGACAAATGAATATATTTTCTAATTTAAATGAATTTATCTTGTTGCATGGCATGAGACAGGCAGAAAGAGGGGTCATGCTGTTAAATGTTCTGACAAAATACTCTGAAGGTAAGGAGTATCTTGTTTTCTTTTTATGGAAGTTGGCTAGTTCCTTTTATTATGTGTTTCTAGAACTTTGTGCTAACTTCTCTTTAGCCATCCCATTTTTTCAGTTACTAGGATGATTACATCTTTAATATTTTAGCTATCCGCCTCAATATTTTGATGTTGAGAAAGATACTGAGTGGGAGGCTCATCTGTATGTTCCAGATAGGCTTGTGTATGAAAATTAAGTCTTGTTATCCAAATACGACGGCATAGTATTTAATTTAGATAAGTGCATTCTCTTTTCTGGATTGACCTAGGTAGATATGAATCTGTAGCAAAACATATAGTTCTTCTGTACCCCACTTGTCTCATTTTGATTGGCCTACTAACGTCCTCCAAAAGATTGATCTTTTCCTTAAAGTGGTAAAGCTTACAGCTTTAGAAGGTCGGAATGACATGGAGTATTGTTTTTCACTTTATTTTGAATTTGAAAAACATCTTTAATCTCTTGTTGCTTCTTCCCACTGTTACTTTATCTTGTTCTAACAGACTACTAGCACATGTTGCTAAGTTGTCTTAATCATTGTGCCAGTCAAAGTAGGTTAATCAAGTCAAAGAGAGAGGGGGTAGAATTTTTGGTTGCTTCTGATGTTCTTCCTTTTCTTGGTGATTAACAGCATTTTCTGCAGTGGTGGATGGAAAAAGTGAAGCAATGACAACCAAAGAATTGTCAGGGGGAGCACGGATTCATCACATATTCCAGTCAATTTTTGTAAAGAGCCTGGAGGTGCAAATTTTTGTTCCTCAATTAGTTTCTTGTTGCTGCTGGTCTTTCATGGACTAGCTTCTCTAGTGAAGGGCTAAAGACAATATTACTTTAATATTTCTTGCTTTAGATATTAACAAGATCTTACCTACTTAACTATGTAACTGATGTTGTTCTAGCAGTAGCAGTAAGCTGTTGATGCTGCATCAGGTAGTAAAGTTGTTATTTGTGTCACTGTAGGAAGTGGATCCTTGTGAAGATCTAAGTAACGAGGATATAAGAATAGCTATCCACAATGCAACTGGTCCGAGAAATGCGCTATTTGTGCCAGAGGTGCATACCGTGATAGTAAATTTACGCTTCAAGCGGAGCACCTATAATTCTTTCTATTATCGTTGGGATGATAATGATGGTATAAGTGTTTTAGGTCCCGTTTGAAGTTTTGGTTAGAAGACAAATAGCCAGGCTGCTAGATCCCAGCCTCCAGTGCTTGCGGTTCGTCTATGATGAGCTTATCAAGGTGATAAAAGAGTATTTTTGACTTATATGGTGTTTTACAGTTTTAGTACGTAGGTTCCCTCTCTCATGAGCAGCTACAAACACACATAAACTAGATCCTTGGGGCACTCTAAATATTCAGTTGGACTTACCCTTAATTAAATCTTGCAGATTAGTCGTGCTTGTGAAACATTTGAAATGCGCCGCTTCCTAGAGTTAAGAAGGCGACTAGAGGATGTCACTGCAAGGTTTCTACGAGATGGTGTAAAACCCGCTGAAAGAATGATAACAAATCTTATTGAGATGGAGGTATCTGATCTCTAATTGCAGATTGTTTGACCATTTACTTGAAGTAATGTCCTTAAACTTAAGGTTCTTCAGTTCAAGAGTGTGTATACTCATATACTTTTACATTCTTTCTTTTATATGGCCAGGATAAACTCTTTATATGCTACCCCCCCCCCCCCCCCCACCCCCACACACACACAAACACACACCAAAAAAAAAAGATGGCGAAGAATAGTATAGATATGAATAACTTAATTTAGGTCCATATTCTAATTGCCACTTGGAGTAATGCTTCAAATTTTGAATGAATATCAACAAGATACAGTTCACTTTTTGATAAGTAACAACAAGATACAGCTTCTTTCCATTTGAAAGGTTGGGTTGGGATGGGTGGGTTTCTCACTTTTATGAATCTGCTGAATTGTTGTCGTAGAAATATATTTTGCATCTTAAGATCATTATCTTCCATTACCTTTTTATTGCCTTCCTTGGACTGTTATTGAGAAGTAAAAATTCAATTAAGATGTATTGTCAGTTTCCTTTGAGTTGAGTTTTGTACTTCAACGGTTGATTTTATATGTTCCATGCTTGTTCATAGCAGTTATGCAAAATTATTTTCTATTGCTGATCAACCAACTCTTTAATTCATTTTAGAAGGATTATATAAATTCCTCGCACCCCAATTTTATTGGTGGGACAAAAGCGGTTGATATGGCTCAAATGGAACTGAGGGCTATGCAGGTACCAACTATAACTTCCTTTCTGTTTTATGTCTAAATTCATTGTGCCTGCGTATGGAAAGTGAAATACTAGATAGGATTTTGTGTAGACAATTCCATGGAATTCTACATAATTAGGAAACATAATTGATTGTATATTTGTATGTAAACAAAGACTTCTATTTAAGAAGTCTCTCTTTACATGTTAATTTTGATGCAAAGTATTTTTTCTTTTATATCTTGTTTCAATGAATTTAGAGCCAAATAGAGCAACTATCCGAATTTAGGTTGTCTCGGCCACCAAAAACATTATCTGGCGAAGTTTATTAAGTGCATTGCTACCTCGATTTCCTTGATTATTCGGTCCATATAAGTTAACCAATTACATTAAGACGAGATGAACAGAGTCATCAAAAAAAGAAAAAAACACCATATGCCACCAGAAGGAATGTCAGCCTTGGCATCAAGTCACGTGCCAGAATTTTGTCCAATGTATGCCCGCATTACCGTTAAACTAGTATTAGTACCCGCGCGATGCGCGGACATAAACAACGTCAAATCATGATTTGAATTATTTGAAGTATGTGCAAATAACCTTAAAAGTAAACCTACTATATAGAAATTATAAATAATTATTAGATATTAATTCAGAAGCAGGACATGAAATTAAAGAATACTAAACATATAATGTTGTGATTTATCTTGTTTGAGCACAATAAATCATATTATTTTAGCAAAATTCTTACTACCGCTTTGTTTTTCATCTCAAGTTCAAATAAGTCTTATCCTTCTATATTTGTAGACATAAATTTTTTCTCTTTTTGTTCTTTGCCTATAATTATTGCATTATTTATTACTTAATATTGTTATACTGTAATGTGATCTTTTATTAGCTTATAAATGTCTTGCTTATGACCTTATTAATAATCATCAATAAACATAATTTTGTATGCTTAAAATTTGATGTATTCTTATACCATTATTCTCTTACTCGAAACTCTTTCATTATTCAAAATTATCAATAATATTTTTGAGTATTATTTAATAATTTAAATCATATATTTTAAATAAATTTAAAATATAAGTGTCATCGCACTATCTTTATTTTCCTCTTTATACATTCTCTTCCCTACTAAGAAATTTTAATTAGCTTTTTACACAATTTTTTGGCTGATACTCATATAATATCACGTTTTATTTAAAAATACAACTTTTAATTAGTCTAAAAAGTAATACATAAGTTCTTTTATTGTTTCAAATCTATTGAATTTTTTTATAATTATTTTTGTATTACGTGCAAT